AGACTTGCTGAAATAGGCATGGCAAGAATATGAATGGAAGAAATTCCATAGCAAAAGTCTTAAGGCAGAAAACTAGGGCTGATTTTGTTATAAGTTTACAATTGTTCACAAAGACTTCATTGGACCCTACCCAAAATATAACAAGGATAAAATGCCTCTGATATTATGACTATCAGATATTCTAGAAAAGAAGTTCTGTTTATAGTTCCCAAATTGTTAGCCTCCAGCTTCCAAGAACCCCTGCCCTACCAGTAAAAATCTGTTAGATGCTTCAGGAAGCCCAACAGTGGTATGCAATGAGGGCTGGGTAGAAGGAAGAGAAAAAGGAGAAAGAGCATCTCCCACCTATGTTTTAACCAGAATTTTCTTGAGTTTATCCATTTCATATTTTATTATACAGCCCTTAGTGATTTCCTTTGAAGGAAGAATTACAAGTGATTAAAAAAAAGTTGAAAACTTCTGTCCTAGATAAACCCTCTTGATTGTAAAATTAGCCTACAAGGAAATCACTGAGCTGGGTGATTCAGCAGAGCCATTAGCTAGTCAGTTCTTTTACTCTCAACCAGTTCCCTCTGATGATAATCTAGGGGAATTAACAAGGCAATATTGTTCTAGCGAGTCTAGAAAAAATGAGTTTCTTTATATTATGAAACACATGACATAAAGCCTACTAACCAAACAACCCTTTACTTTGGCAAATTTGTAGACCACAAAATATGAAAGTGCACTGCCACTACTCACAGGGGAGTTTTAATGGTGTTGCAAAGCAAATGCCAGGATTCTGTGGAAGAAATCTATTTTAATCTGGGATTCTCAGTCAGAAGTGTCTTCCCACCAAGAAGTGTGTGAAATGCCTGCCATCACCATGACTCCTGACCACTGGACCTCACTTCAGATGTATAAAAGCAGAAAGTAAAGCATGTCAGCACCCTCCAGCCAAAGACCACCAGGAGCACACCTTTAGTTGACAAGTTAAAGTTCTACCACTGTTGCAGGGAGGGAGAATGCACAGTAGAGGGAACCATGAGCATCTCAGTAAGAGACTGTTAGAAAGAACCTATTATTAACACAATCTGGGCTTTGGTTGGGTAATTTTGAAAAAGGTCTAAAGAAATGGGGCATTGTTCTAGGTTGTATGCTGTCAGGAACTGGGGACAATTCTTGATTAAATAGCTCAGTAATTATTACCTATATAAATAGGGCAGATTGGGGCAAGAATAAAGCTGTAATTGGTAAAGAATTAGCAATCATTCATAAGTAGTAATCTTGACAAAGAACAGGAAAGGATAAATTCTAGAAAAGAACAGATATTGTTCTTAGTCACACTGGATAAGAATCATTGTCAATTCCTTTGGGCAGAAGACCTTGATGATTTCAGAAATCCACTGAATAGTATGTGTGTCTAGATCACATTCCAGACCATGACTGCATATGTCACTCAAGGCATTTTTCTGTCGTCTTCAATAAAACCTATGTTAAAGTGCCCTCCCTGCAGTCATTTCATACAGTCACCTTGAATAGGTAGACTTTACCTGACTATTTCAGTCATATTTCTGATGTCCCAAGTAGGTAAAACCAGCTAAGTGTCACTGCTTACTTCTCAAACTGTCTTTTCTCCCCACTCAGTTTCAGATTGATATTTTTTACATATAAAATAAATACAATTCAATACAATAAAAACTAATTACTAAAAAGATAAAATGAAAAAACAAGACACAAAACACTGGACCCATTTTATAATCATCATCATCATTATTATTATTATTATTATTATTATTACTGACCCAATACACATACAATAACTGTCAAATTGCTATAGAAGTTTCTAAACTCTTAGTCACACTGTATTTATCTTGTCACAAACCTGAGACTGTGGAGCACACTTTGAGTAGTTAGTTCTGTCTGCTTTTTTTTAATTAACTTAAAAGCATGCTGTTTAATACAAATTAATTTCGTTTGGTGTGCTGCCCATTTCAAACTCACATAGCACCTGACAAGGCAGCAGAAGAGAAAAAGAGGTAAGGATTTCATCCGTAGAGAGGGCCTTGCTATGAGTCCTCCAACCTTAGTGAAGAATAAATACCTGTGGCTGCTCCCTGTGTGCCACAGCTTGAAAGGACACATGCAGAAAATCAGATCACTGGAATCCCTTCTGCACCAGTCTGAAATTAACCTAATCAAAATAACTAAATTTCCGATCCAGGTAGGGCTTCAGTGGCATTCTCTTCCATATCAGGAGACTTAACTATATGATTGCTGGGCAGAGATTTTCCCATCAGTATTTTTAGGCCACAAATGGCTGTACTTTCTACTAGGACAACTTGGATTTGACTATAATCCCAGAGCCTCCCAGGGTAATGGCTTTATATACCACCAGGTTAATCCTCCAGCATCTGCATTATCTCAGTGTCTCTACTTACCTCTCTAAAGGTAAAGAGGGGCAAGCTTACATCCTTACATAGCATTTTGAAGGAATAGAAAGGGTTTGGGCATCAGCTGATCAGCCAAATTTACTCACATTCTCATCAATTAAACTTCTCACTGCATCTCTGTTAAGCACTTATCCTGCCCAATGTACTTCTGCAATTTTAATAATTCATCCCGACCTCAATGAAGCAACCACTGGTATTATCCAAATTTTTTGATCTACTCTCCATAACTCTGCTTCTCTTTCTGCCACCATTTTCTTTCTTCCTCCTGGCACACAGCTGCTGTGAGCTGGAAACTCTAGAAAAGGTTTCCATCTGAGCAAGTCCACATAGTCAGCACTGCCTGATTAGGCCAGACCCATACTTTTCCTAGATTAAAATCAAGGTTTGGGCCACTTCTTGCTGCACAGAAATTGTCCCATTCACAAAAATCTCTCCAGAAGATACTTTCCTTAACCACAATTTAAGGTAAACATGATTCATATACACATATAAAATACATATGAAAAATATATAAATATTATATATATCTTATAATGTATTTATATAAAAATATTTAATTATGTAAATATTTTCATATATTAAAAATGCATATTTTCTTTTTTTTTTTTGGCCACATATTTTTGGGACTTAAATTCTATGACAAACTTAACATCTTTGCAGTCCATGAGGATGTAACCGTGATTATTTCGTTCACCATTTCACTGTGCCTGAAATAGTGCTTATCTAATAACTGGCTTCCTACAAATATTTTTTAATTAATTAATTAATTAATTAATGGATCAAAGAATAGAGCAAATGAATACTTGTAGTTCAGTTTTATACACACGCACAAGCACACACATATTATATTATGCTGACATATACATGATGTCAGTAGTTAACACCATATCTTAAAATAAGAAATTAAACAATCCTATTAATGTTCATTCGTGCTTTATATATATTTTCCTCTTCCTTATTATGACACAACTGTTATTGCCCCCAATTTCTGTATCTATGATTAGATATTTGACATGTACGATAACATTAGTCACTAAATTAGATTTAAAAATCACTGTGATAATCCATTAAAACTATTTTCTTGCCTTTTTCCTTCCACAAACTGATTTTCAAGCCAGTATCCTGTTTCAAATCTTAATTGAGAAGATAAAAAGTACATAATTTTTATGCTATAAAATTAAAAAATAACAACGAATTAAGATTTATACTCAAGATATTTTACTCCAAAGTGTTATAAAACAGATTTTTGTATAATTGACTTCCTTTCATATCTCAGTTTTGAATCAAGGCTCTCTCAGTCAACACTTGAATGTAAACTTCTTATTTAAGTCTTCTTTCCTAGAAAGTGGTTTTGTGCTTTTTTTTTTTTTAATTCAATGACAAGTTAATTCATTTCTGTTCAATCCTTTATGTAGAAGGAGAAGAATTTAAGAAATTCCTTATGTCTTCAAACCCCAGAAGATGGTCCAGCACCAAGTGTGAGGATGTGGATCCAAAACTAACGGAGTTCTAGTTGGAGACTTGGACCTGCTACACCATTAGAACATCAAGAGTCTGTCTAACTGCTATACAGTTATAACGTCAAGAGTCAGTACAAGACTCCAAATATAAAATCTAAAACAGAATGAACTCACCAGCATTTGGTAAAACGTATCGTATCATAACTCCATTGGGTTGGGTCTATACATAGAGAGGACAATAGCAGAATATTCAAGGTTATCATCAGGGACCAAAGTAGAATAATTATAATCAGGAATGTAAGGAATATTTTGAGAACTCCCAGAGGCAGTGACAAAACAAAACTAAAAGCTCTGAACTCCCAAGAAATGGCAGCCTGATAACCATAGGAAGAAAAATGGTTGCTCCTTTTGAACAGACTTGGTGTCAACTGTGAATGGAAGAGACATAAACATTGCACAATTTTCAAATAACATCTAGAGATACAAAACAAATAAAAATATTTCACGTCTGCCAAGTGTGTAAAAAGAGTTGGTTACTGCTTTTCACAAAACTGAAAAGCAATATATGGGTATTTTATTTGAAAATAAGGAAAAAAAATGAATCGAAACTACCACAGAGAACAGCATTTCATGTTCACAAAGTAATGCTATTTGGACAGATTCTGACAGAGGATCTGCTCATTTCCCACTTTAGCATTCTGTAAGGTATCTAAAGAATGCTTTCAAAACCCTTTCTTTAAGAAAATACCCAAAGTTTCCACATAAGAAGTGAAATACTGTCATTCTGGAGGAATCTGTTCCTTTAGAAAGTTTTCAGAAAGCTTTGAAAAAAAAATAATAATAAGGAAATATCTCTCAGTGTAACACAAGTAGACACAAATGAAAAATGCTAAAATAGTTGTCTTTTGTTTCTTGGAATAATGCTGTCATGTCACAAATTAAGCCAAGGTACACATCTCTGACAGTAAAATGCTTTCTAATGCTTTTTCCTGAACTTAAAATATAACAATGAGGCTTCCTTTCCACCTCTACCTTCCAAACCATGCTGAAGCTATGCTGTACTCCCAGCACCTGCTAACACATACACTTGAAAGGGAATGACTCTTACCAGACCATCACAGTTGCTAATGGCAACAGAGGTTCCTGGAATGTCCATGATGTCACCAACATAAGCACAGTTAGTCTGCAAAGGCTCTGTTTTCCAGGTTCTTTCTGAAGCTCTTCCTGGCTGATGGTCATTAATGGGATTGGTTATATTCCCAGGCACCAGAGATGTTTCATGCCATTCCACAACAGCCCCAGGAGCTACTAGATGTGTGTTGGGCTTTAGTCGCAGATGAAAATCTCTTCCAAATGCTGTGACGTTAAAGAATAATTGCTCAGGGTTGGAAGACAAGTCCCTCGTTGACCTCTTTTTGTGATTTGCAGAAAGAATATGGGAGATATAGTGTCCTTCTAGATTTGTGCTGACTGGAGTCACCAGCTCATACTCTCTCTGTCTCTTTATTGGTAAATCTGTGGGATGAAAAAAAGAATTGTAGAGCCCTGTGCAACAAGAGAACACAGGAGGACATAACATAGGTATAAAGTGCCCTACTCACAAAACTGCACCTCAATTTGCATAATAAATATATTCCTGAATCATCTCATAAATATTAAATTTTGAAAATGCAAATCACTTCTCAAATGCACTTTAGGTAATTCTTTGTTCAAAGAATCATTTTTTAATTTAAAAAAAGTATTACATTATGAATATTCATATTTCATCTATATGTTTGAGAACATGAATATAGTAAGTTTCCATAAACTATGTCTGGCTTGCTTAAAATCAAGACATACCCCCAATTAATTTATTATTGGCATAAGTGACATCTGCTACAAGCTTTTAACAAAATTTCTATTATGTAAAAGAAATTCTTTCCTGGTTGTTTTTATTTTCTCCGTATAGAAATCCTAGAATTCATACTAATTACAATAGCTACCTTATGTTGCATCTATCATGGGTCTGTAATTTATACACTGTAGTTTATGGTGCTGTAATTTATACACATTTCTTCTATCATAAACACCCTAACAACCACACATCACAGGTGAGGTAACCGAGATTCAGGGGGTGGTACGTGTCCAAGGTCAAACAACCGTCAAGCTCAGATATAAATCCAAGTTTTACTCCAAAGTCCATACTCTCATTCTGCTATATCATGTTATGCCCTATAAATCTTCATTTTCAAAAAATGAAGAGAATGTTAAAAAGGAGAGATAATAATCTATAAACTGAATATGCAGATGCTGGTTAGTCAAGAGGGAATGGTATTTTCATTTTGCTCCATATTCCATTCATGGGATAGACACCCATTTGAATATGATTGTGTATTTGAAGCCCAACTTACAACCTGGGTAGCCACTTACTTGTCAACTGAATTTCACAATTAGAACTTATTGTGCCTGGCTTAGCCAGATGTGAATATTGTGTCTACTAAAATGCAAACAGCCCCGGGAAAGACAACACATTAAATGAACCATTTATCCCTTCGAAGGAATGATTTTAAACCAGAGGACAGTGGATACTGGAGAAGGAAACAGGAAGGACAACAAAGATGAAAAAAGAAAACATGAAAAGGAAAATCTGAGAACATGAATTAAAAAGTTCCCTACTTTCAAAATTCTAGCCCAAAACTCATCTTGTAGTGTGTTAAAGTGCCTTGAAAAAATTGTATGATTCACAAATATTGTTCATCTATAGAAAATGCATGTACTGTCATCCAATAAAGCATTAGAGTATGTGATTCATAAAACTTCCAGCCTGCTCTTAAAGTATCCATATAGAATCACTATGTTTTCATTATTTACCTGCTTTTTAAATACATCAAACAATGTGTAAAGTACTAGAAGATAAATGAAGGTGCTTTACATTCCTTGTGTGCACGTTTGTTATCATTAATGCCACTTATAATGACCAATGTATTTAAATGAAATATCTCTCTTTATTAAATGCACAGAGCAAGCAACATACTTATCAATATTCACTAGGCAGAGAAGGAGTAAGGACTGTCTTATAACAGAGTCAAATGAAGGCTGGTCCACAGACACAAGAGATTTGGTCTTCTTTACAACCAAATCCATGGTGAATACTTTTGTAAATTCTGGTTTAGAGAAAGAACTTGAAATTTAGGGAACGAAAACAAGTGTCACGAGAGCAGAGTGAGGGAAGGGACAGTTTCCACAGTAAGGGATGAATCAAGCCTTTAGATGCAGACTGACAAAACTCACCCCAAATCAATTACGAATTCCTTGAGGACAAAAAATTTCCCATTCAACTTGGTATTCCCAACATCATCTAATACAAGAATTTGTACAAGCCAGGCTCTCTTTGTCAGTTGGATGTGTTTAATGTGTATTAAGTTGGGAATGCAGGTAACTGGAGAACATTTGCTTTGTCTATGCTACTATCCATGTGGATTTACAAAACACACTACTCCAGGCCCATGAGTATCTGGCTGCACCAATAATCTCAAATATAACTCTTTCTCTAACCACCAGTTTACTGTTTCAAGAGAAGGATGAAGCAATGCTTAATTTCAGTGTATGGATTTCCCCTCTCCCCTAAAGGGAATTCACATGACCAAAGTCTGGACAATATGCTGATGCCTGGATTAAGTGACTAGAGAACAAGAAAATTGAGGAAGAATGCAGGGAGTCTCCTTCACACCCAGGAGGACACCCAAGGCCTCATGCTTACAGTAAACTAGACATCCTAGATTCTCTGGGAAAGTTCCATTTTTCCACTGTCAGACAATATGTTCTGAATTTTTATTCAAAATAAGGATGGTGTATTTCTACAAAACTTTATTTTCCCTAGTGCTAAGTAATGAGTCATTCCTATCAGTACATATAAGAAATGTTTACAAACTTAAACCCTGAGTGAGTCATCTTCCCGCTGGGAATTAAGGCAATCAGAAAACAGATGCACTTAACAACCCCTTGGACTACCATCTCCTGGATGATAGTTAAGAGAACTGACAAAGGAACTGACAATGGCAGTCACCTGCCATTTTTTAGCAGATTAAGTACCAGGTACTGTGATTTGTGCTTGAATATATATCATCTCTAATACTCACAACAATCACAGTAGCTAGGTGTTATTATCCCTATTTTATAAATGAGAAAGCAGACCTAGAAGGCCTGACACACAGCGAGCAAGAAGCCAAAGGGATATTTCGATTCTTATCATTTTGACTCTGAAGACTATTCCTATGCTCTCATTCACTTCAGAATAGATGGAACATCTTTCTGTCAATTCTAATGTAAGATATGACTTATAAAGGAAAACTACCACAAGAATGATAACATTCTAGCTACCTGCAGCCAGTCAACCAATTTTCTCCCTATTGTAGCCTCAATAATTTCTGTAAAAGGCTCTTAAATTCTGGGTCTTCAGGAAAAAAATGGGGTGGTGGGCAGAAACTCAAAACTACCAAAAGCATTTTAATCTGACATTAAAATCACATAAGCAAACCAAATTATATACAATGTTAACTTACTACATTCAAAAATTATACATTGTACAGGCCCAACTACTTCCACAAAGTAGTACATCCTATGGTTAAGGAATGATTTACCATGCCAGAAAGCAGCAAGTTGAGTCAATTATGACCATAAGCAAATTCTTTATTTTTTCTTAGGCTCAGTTTCCTCAATTGGCAACTGGAAGTTAGTAATATTTCCAGCTTCATAGGTTTAGTGAGAGGTTTAAATGAGATTATGCAAAGAATTCAATAAATATTAGCTATTACTAATTTAAAAGTAAGTTAGCTACTCATTTAAATAACATCATGTTCAATTTTAAAATTGGAAGCTATACACTTGTCAGCTGAGACAGCTGAGGGGCCACAGCAACAAGTATGTAAAGGGTTTTGGGGGCCCTAAGTTCCACAAGCACAGAGAGCTGGAGCCACTGTAAAACCTGACTGTGTTCTATAATTACCCGAGCATGACCCAGATGCAGTGATTTCTCCACAAGTCACTGGCATCTGTGCATCTCCCTCCTGCTACTATGGATGGAATCTCATCTCACCTAAGAGCAAACCTCCACTTGTGTCCGACACCCTGTAGCCCTCTTGCCTTTTCAAGAACAGTTTCAGCAACCATCTTCTCTCTTCATTTATCGAGTATCCCCACATTTCTAGAACATTCCCACCAGCAAATAAAGTTGCCATCATATTTCCCAAGTTTAAAAAAAAAAAAACCTTCGGGATGCCACATTCTCCTTCAGCTAATACCCCATCCCTTCATTCTCCTTGAGGGTAAAACACTTCAAAAGATTGACTCTATTAGATGTCTCCAATTCCTCTCTTCCCATTCTCGTCCTGTATTGAACCCATTCCAATAAGGCTCTTGGGGGGTCACCAGTGACAAGATGCTGCTGAATCCAATGGTCAAGACTCGATCTTTTTACTTGCCCTATGAGCAGCATCTGACCGAGTTATTTCTCTTCCCTTTATTTAGCTTCTAGGACACCATGCCCTTCTGGTTCTCCCCTTCTCTCACTGGTCTCACCTTCTCATTCTTCTATCCTCATGTCCTTTTATTTCCATGGCCTGTAAACACTGAAGTGCTGCAGACCTGGTCCTTGGACTGTTCTCTTCTACATCTAGTCTCTCTAACCAGGTGAGCTCATCCTGTCTCATGACTTTGAATGCCTTCACAGTGGTACATCTGTAGCCCACACTTCATTTGTGAGCTCTTCTCCTATACATCCAATTGTCAACAGATCCTCTCCATGTGAATAAACACTAGGTATCTCAACTGAACATTTCCAAAACTAAACTCCCAGTCTTTCTGCTTCCAAATCTGCTCCTCCTTTCCCATGTCAGTAAATGGCAACACTCTCCTTCCAGTAACTCAGACCAAAAAATTGACTAAACCATCTTTAACTCTTCATGTACCACAAACCCATTCCTTTACCAAATTATGTTGACTCTACCTTCAATATACATCCAGACTTTGACTGCTCCTGACCACCTCCCCTACTACCACCCTAGTCCAAGCCACCATCACCTGAGTTCTGAACACACTTCATAACTCTTCTTGCTTCTGCTCTTCCCCTTAATGGGCAATACCCAAAACAGAGAACAATTAAAGCATCCAATCATGTCATTCTCCTCCTCAAACACATCTCACTCAAAGTAAAATAGCTCACAAGGTCCACAGCTAAAGTTCAAAGTTCTCCCATCTCAAGGTTTTTGTACCTTTTTCCTCTGCCAAGGTGGCTTCCCTCTGAAACAGCTGCATGGTTCACTCCCTCAACTGCTTCAGGTCTTCGCTTAAATGTGACCCTCTCAGGGAGGTCTTTCCTGATCAACAGTAATTATTTCATCACTCTGTCCCCCTTCTGTATTTTGCCTTTCTCCACAAATCTTGTCACCATCTGACATCCTATAAATTTTACTTATATATTTATTTGTGCATTGTTTCTTTATATCAACTAACATATAAGCTTTATGAGGGCGTGGATT